GAGCGTCGGACAAGTTTGAAATCTCCGTTTTGCCTGGGGTGTGGTAAATTTCACGTTTCTTTGATTTCTGTGGAGATAATGTAGCTTTAGTCAAGTAGCAAACTGTTTGTAGATACATATCTAAATGTATGTTAAAATATAAGTATAAATTGGCACGTTTTCAATTTTTAATATATAAAATATGTAAATTTATATATAACTGTTATTTTCCTTAGATCCATATTGTAGCAGTGTGTTTTCCTGCTGCAAATGGCTTGTTTTTCTAAAAAATTGTTTGAAACAAAACATTCATAAGGAACTAGCATTACCTTTACTAATGAAACCTCATTCTGCTTGCAGTGTTCTAGATCTATAATCAATAAATGTTTTTACAGTTCTTCAGGAAGGTATTTAATTATGTGTGCAAGAGTACAGCTTCTGTGACTGAAATTGCATTCATGTTTTAGTACCTTTCTGCTTTGATACTGTAAACAGACCTTTGCAGAACGTGTGATACTTCCTCCAGTGTGAACAAACAAAGTGCAAAGAAAAACACTCCTCATGAGAACTTGAAGAATTTTGGAACTTGTTTTTCGCTCTCTTTAAAACTTTTTTGCTGCAATAAAATGTCTCGTTTATGTAACATGGAGTTAAATTCTCCCTGGACAAGAGGAAAGCACTATAGGAGGCACAAATTGGCAATGGCTTTCAAATCATTTTATTGAGAACACAATAGGAGAAAGTCTGCCACTTCCTAAATTTGCAAGCGTTCTGAGATGCATGCAGAACTGTGACATCTCTGCTGTAGCCTTTGTGGCTACTGAGGAAGGACTTGATATGATGCACTTCTAGCAGGTAGCGTCCTGAAAATACAGAAGTCCACAGAATGAGTTAGGAACTGCGATGTCTTAAATAGAAATGGCAGGGTTGTAATAATAAATACATTATCTGTAATCATCTTGTAAACTGTTAAATGAAGAAGGTAGTGCAACAATGATAATTTTACCATAACATTATAACTCGATGTAGTTACGATTTATAATCACATTTTACTGCAATTAGAAAAAGCTGTCTCCTAACTTACTTTGGGAACAGATTACTTTGAAACATTTGCTTCCTCTTAATTGGTCAGCAGCTGGGGGGTGTTCTGTTTTGTTTTGTTTTTTGAAGTAAAACTCTCATCTTCTGTTACAGGGGTCCAGGGGGTGGTAGACCTTGGCCAAACCCAACCAATGCCAATTCTGTAAGTAAATATTTAAATATATTAGATATCATCTTATATTTATGAGTTATTTCTCATCAGTACACCAAACAGCAATACAAAGTCCAGTTCACTCAACAAATAGCATACTGCTATAAGGCCTGCTTTATGTTTTTTTCCCACTGTAGTATGTTCCTGTCAACCCTAATGCAATGTAGGTACAGTCAGGACCACATCTTAACAGAGAACTCATTGTCCATTTTTGTCCGTACGTATTCAGATCTATTCATAATCACGTAACACCTTCGCATCTCTACATCATTTACAGAACTTCCTTAACAAAAAAGTCATCCTGGATTATATTTAAAATAATATATTTTAACTTCCGTTAGTGCAAGGCAGAAAAGTTAGGTCAGTGCTATCTGACTAGTCAGCTCTACAGAAGTCACAGCTTGAGAAGATATTCCCCAATATGCGCTCACATTTTGCATAGGCAAAACCACATTTGTTCTTGTAACTAGGGAAAGTGGAGTCATAAAGCAAATGCTCACAAGACATCAGCCATTTAGATATGCTTTTTGTAAAAAGCAGTGCATTCTCTTGAATTTTGTTCCAAAAACTACAAAATGAGGTTGTGTAATAGCAGCTTAAAGAAAGAAGCGGTCAGCAAGGCATACCAGATGAACAGCATTGGCTGCTTTTTCTTCAGAAAGCCCATCGGTAAAGTTTTCATTTTACTTCATTGGGCATATATCATTAGTATTGAAACGTGTGCCTTTCTAGCAATGACAGTTGGATAAGATGGATCTGACATGTCAGAGGATATCGGCTCTTTTTATTGCTCTCAATTTTGATTTTTTATTTCTACTGAATTCCAATTAGGCAAAAAAAGGAGCTGAAGCTCTTCGTCTATCTACTTTTCTTTGCTTACTAATCTACTAAAATGGACACTAGGATATGCTTCAAGTGATAATTAAAGTGTTTTCATTCTATGAAGTTAATTGAGAAGTCCAGTGCTAGATACCTTTGTAAAAACTAGTTGTCTGACAAGTTGTCTGCAGTCTTGCAAGATGCTTATTCTACAAAATAATTTTGTAGTATCTTAATTCAGTTACTTAATTCTTACCCCATCCTACTGTAATGGTATTGCTGCCTGCTCCTTCAGAGAGAATCTTCACAAAGGCTATTGCATAAAGAAGAAAACTGGATTATTCACAGGCAACTGGATTTCTCCAAATATCCTCTGTAACAAATACCACAATTGAATTTGAAATGAAATTAGGACACTGTCCTTTTGTAAAAAGAAAGAATAGTGCAAAGAGATAAGAGGAGTATTTTCTAGGCTGAAAGAGTAGAGAGTAATGCTTTTCTTTATATCATCTGTATTTTAATAAAGATTCACTACATATAGGAACAAACAAATTTAGCTCCTGTTCCAGATGTCTTTGAAGTCCTGTTGAGTAAAATGCAAGCATGTACTGCTAAAGTTTACCCTCTGTAACGCATATTACCTTAATACTCTTACAGCTAAGCCTTTTACTATAGATTGTAGATCTTTACAGAGCTTATTGTGGTTCCCACAGTAAGAATCATAAAATTCTTGTGATGCATGCAAGGACTAGATTTGGTACTAGAGTTTTTAACTTGGTATCTTGAAAGAGCAATGCTGGCCGTTCAGGGCACATGCATCACTTATTATGAAACAATAGAGAATAGATATCAGACCTCAACCGGCAGACTTTTAAATATGTGCAGTATATTGTTCCTATTGATTTCAGTTGAGTGGCTACCAGGATACAGTAATCTTAAATGGAAATATTTTGATTTGAAGTATTTGATACTAAATTCTGTTTATGTCTAAACTGCACGTTTTAGTCTTGAACGTATTTACAATGAAAAGTTGTTGATTAGGACTTTTGTACTTGTTAACAATAGCATTTTCTCCATGATCTTTTACTTTCTCTTTAAAATGAATTATCCAAATATGCTTTAGTATGACTGCCGATAAATGTAGGTATGAATTCCATCTCGATGCTGAAGAAATTACTGTTTTGTTTCTGTTGATATTACAGATACCTTATTCTTCAGCATCTCCTGGGAACTATGTAGTAAGTACACTTGTTTGTGTTTGCTCATTAGAATAGATGTTACATTTTATTTAGGCAAAGAAATAGTTGTCCAGATGTTAAGAAGAACCCCTGTGTATTGGTTGAGAACTGAACATCTGATCTGCAGTTAGTTGTTTTGTCTGCCATCTATGGTGCATATGTTGATGTTCATTACTACAATCATTATCAGTCTGGTCAAAGTTGCTGTGAGTGCTGTGTTTTGTTTCAGCATATGTTTCTTTAACCAATACAATATCTTATGTTCAAGAATAAAGGACAAAACCCCCCAGCTTTTTCAGTGATGCAATATTTTATGAATTTCTGAACTTCTTCAGGAAAAAAAGTATTTGAAAAATTCGAGGAAGCTTTTCTCTCCCCAGGGATGCATAACAGAGTCCCCATAGCTAACATGTTAAGGGATATTCTTTCGTCTAACAATTACCTTCTGGAGACTTGAAAACTCTTTTTTCCCCATTGTCTTTATTTCACGGTCATTGTCTTAGTTTATTACAGATTGGTTGATATCATTATATTTTCTTAGTATGTACTTTAGAATGAAATAGTTCACACTTCAGAATAGTATCCCACATTGATTTCTCATTCAAAACAGCTAAAATGCTTAAAAAAGAGCTAAAAATGCTAATAGTCTCTCTGGAATTTGAGAAAAACATTTCACCTATCAACAAAACAGTTTCTGTTGGAGTACATACTGGTTTTTGTCTGTATCACAAGAGATTAACTTTTGTTTCTTCTTTTAGCTTTTTTTTTTTGGTGTGGTTGTTATTGTTCTTTTACTAGGATTATTTGTACTTCTCATGTACCCTTTCTAAGGGATATTGTTTCATGTTTGTATCACATGTTTAGTACTGGAGTCAAGATGTAACGGGGAGAATTATATCTTCCCCTCTGAAGACGTTTGACATTGGTCATTTTTGTTTGCTCGTTGTTGGATTCCAAACTTCTGTTTGTGGATCAGATTCCAGTAGACTTTTTTTAATGTTTTATCACCTGAAGACTAGACAACTGCGCTGTAAGGCTTAAATCGACCTAAAACCTGAAGCTAGTGCAGAATGTGGAAATAGCAGGCCTTTCACTGGGAGGGCAATATACCAGTGTTTTTGATCTATCTGGGCTGCTTACAGGTTTCTTTTACATCTAGTCTACATCAGGGAGGTGATCCTGTACAGCTAGTGCTGAACTGAGATAGATAAAATTTTCAAGGATGACCTTGTCTTATCTAAATAATAGCTATTTCTTTTGTCTTTTATTCAGACAGTTAGCTGCTAAAAGGGTTACATTTTTCATAGGTGTCCATAGTTCCAGAGCTTATTTGCCACATGTTTAGTGGAAACAGTCTAAATCTGCTGATCTTCAAACCAGTTATTTTAATAAAGAACTTTGGAAAGGTCTCTCTACTAGGAGAAGAAAATTCTTTGTTGTTTTGCCACAGACCTCAGTGATCAGTTATTACTGCAGTTTTTGAAGGTATTTGTTGGAACGTGTGACTTCATATTCTGTTTTTTGAGAAGTATGAAGGCCTGAGAAATTAGAAAAAAAGACACTATAGACATCTATTTTAAAGAAGCAAACCTAAGTAAAGTGCATATTGCAGTGGAGGACTCTATTGGTGTCCAGGCACCAGGCAGCCAGCCTAAATGACTGTGACAAAAAGGGCATCGCCATAGCTGAATGTAGAGATAGAGGAGGAGGAGGAGTAAGAGTAAAGAGGTAATTTTACCTCTTCCAGGGACAATGATGAGCCTGGTACTGGAATGTTGCATCTAATTGGAACTTTGAAAGGAAATTAAAATATATCCAAAGATGCAAAAGAAACACACAAAAGATTCAAGTATCAGAGAAAATGCCTGAGCCTCTGAGCAGATGTGCTCTGTGAGCTCCAGCTCTACAGGAGGAGAGAGGGGGACATTTCTATCTAACTTCTTCTCACTCTTTTGCTGAAGTTTACCGCTCCATCAGATCTGCCACTGGAGTTGCTTGGATAAGTGACCCTTGTCATTCAACAAAATTGAAGTTGATGTAAGCAGTTGGAGAACTGAGTCCTTGCTAAAGTGGTTTCGTTTGCCTGCACTTGGTTAAGAGACATTCATACATGAAGCTCCAAGCAGAGCTGAGGCTGCCTTTAGCAGGGCATAATGACTGGGGTGGGCCAGGGGTTGAAAACCTATTTTGCCAGCATAGGTGCTTGCACAGCACATATCCTGCCTGTACTCTCACAGTAGTCTGGCTTTAAAACGGCTCACCGCTTTTTTGGAAAATGGAAGACATGAAAGCCAGCCATGCAAAGAGTTAAACTGAGGGGCAGTAACTTCCATCAAAGGGAGCAGGAGCAACGGTTTGGGAGCAGGCTATGATTTGGGGAGCTCTAGGATCAGCTTTTCCGCTGAAGGGTTCATGATACAGAACTACATGCTTCGAAAGCTTAGTCTGATTAGTTTATCAGACAGGTTTTTGAGAAATGATTTAATTGCATATAAATACATTCTCTGGGAAAAAAATACTTGATACCAAGAGGCTCACTAACAGAGGAATGACAGTTAATATAAATTAAAAATTAGATGCAAATAGTAATAGTGTGGATAATTAGCCTTTGCAATGAATCACCAGTTAGTGGTTTCTAAATCTCTTGCTACCATTCTGAAAAATATATATAAACCTTGCAAACTTAAGTTAGTAAACCCAGTGCACAAGTACATGGATAAAATGTCATAGCCTGTGATACCCAAAAGGTCAGAATATGTGATTGAAAGGTCCCTTTTGAATTTAGAGTCTGTAACTCTATAAATGAAATGGGGGAATTTTTCATTGCTGAGGGCTGAATAGGCCTTTCAAATGCTTTTGGCAAAAACAATCTTAATACGTTTATTACTGATCCAATTATAATTTGGGGGGGGGGGGAGGGGAAATGCTAGCTTCTGGCAGTATGAAATGAAGTTGTGCTCCTTGACTTATATAATGTGATTTGTGGTTTGCAAGATGGAGCAAGCCTTATTTTCTAGCATATTTTATAACAGATAATCAGTGATCTTGCTTAGTTCACAATAAAGGGGAAGCACAAGATGAAGAACTGGTAGGTGGTGTTATATATAAGGGCATAGAGGTGTATTCATGTTGATTGACTGCTGCTGCTGAGTAAAAGATTTCTCTTTTATCTACAATTAACTGATAGTTAATTACTGACTGGGAGACAGGGGTGCTTCCCCCTGAAGTGTTATATATTTTACTGGCATGAACCTGGGGAGGAGTGCTATCAGTCAGAAAGCTGCTACAATAACGATTTTAATTGTCTGAAAATAGTGTTCACTAGTGTATTACTGCTAAATGTTTTGTAAGAAATGTTATTTTTAGTAGGCCATTGAGAAACAGTGTGTATTGTTTTAATTCCAAAACTTCTCTACCTCCTTCTGGAATATTTCAGTGAATATATATCATGGCAAATCTCAGCAATATTCTTTTAAACAAATAGGAATAATCAAACCTTTATATTCAGTGCAATTGAAAAGAAGGTAGTCTTTCCCTTTACTTAAAAATATTAATGGATCTACAAATGTAGGAAGCAAGAAGTTATGATTCAATTCCTACTAAACTGTTAGGATGTTTAGAATAAAATTATTTGAGGCATTTTTAAAGAAAGAACCTTAAAAAGCTTGTTTAACAACCAGAGCAGTCTGTGTACAGTGTTTATTCATAAACAGATTTGTAACACAGAAATACCTGAAACTAAGAAAACAATTTTTTTTTCTGTGATTTAGCACTGTAGGCAAGTGATATGACTGTATCCAAATTTAGCATCATCCTGACACTTTTTTATCATTTGTTGTTAATTTGCAAATGAATTGTATCTACAGATACTATTAAAAAAGGATTGTAGAATACTATACATATTATACAGACCAAATTAAGATCGCCAGGGCATCAAGACACCAAGTCTGTCTGAAAGAGAAAACTTTCTTCAGATGACTAGTCTCTTCTGTGCCCATAAGACACTTCCTTATTTTATGCTTTACAAGCACTGGTTATGCTGTCATTAATGTGTGGACAGAGGAAAACTAGTGGTGAGTTTACAGAATTAAATACAATTGTCTTATGCCCTTATCCAAGTGTCCTTCTTGCCTAACTCATAGCATGAATCAACTTTCTATGCTAATGGATCTTCTTGGATCCATAGATCTACATGTACCAGAACTCTGTGCCAGAGCCTGCTGACCAACAGCGTTGTCTTAATCTTTTAACGAGTTGTTTTGTTAGCTTTTCAGAAAATGCGCATGTTTTCACTAGAGTAACTCGTGACATTTATGATGCTTTTTTTTCTTTCATTTGTACTGTAGTCACTCTTTACTGTGGTATTTTTTTTTCCTTTCATGCTAACTGGTATTTTCTACCCTCTCTAGGGTCCTCCGGGAGGTGGAGGGCCACCAGGAACACCCATCATGCCTAGTCCAGCAGGTACTGAAATATACTCTGAAAAAAATAAAAGGAAATTTTTAAAGGTTTTAGGAAGTACACAAATTCCCTTTTTCCAGATTTTTCTATGCTATTAATGCAGTCAAATGGATAGATCCAATTGATATACATTTTTCAGCAGGGAGCAGCTAATGAAAAGGTATTAGTTTTGTACTTTCTGCATCAGCTTTTCTTAATGCTCTTTCACTCTCTTTCTCTCCCTGCTATGCTGCAGAAATATAAAGCATTGTACTGTACCTCTACAGTTCAAAGCAATTCATGTCTCTCGTTCTTGAGTCCATCTTTTCTTGCACTGTTTCAGCAACAGCAAGGGAAAAAAAAGAAAAGAAAAAAAGAAAGAAGACAGAATATGTATTTGTTTCTGCTCATGTCCTTTAGCGCAATTCTGCCAGTTCAGAAATTAGGAAATTTCTGAATGCCGTGCAAGTTCCCCTGTAGTATCCTATGGGATAGACCCGATCAATGTGTAGCTCTTGAGCTACATGTGAATGACAAGCATGACTGCATCCTCTGGCTATGTCATCGGACTGACAGCAGGCTAGTGCTAGGACAGTTGCTCTGCTCTGTCCTGCGATGGAGGAGTAAGGCCCCAGAGGAGCAATTCTCATCTCCTATTTGTTATCTGTTCCTAGCGCTTCACTGCTGCATTGTTTCCCTAGGTTGCGTGATCTGTATCTTGGAATTCTGGCCACAGGGAGAATTTGGCCATCCTGAAGGTTGGCCACTGTTCCTATTCAGGTTTAAAGAATCGAGGAGGAGGAGGAGGATGGGAAGATTCAAGACAGCTAACTAGATTCTCAAGGCTCAAAGTTGGTCAGCTAGATGCAAGTATCTCCATCAGTGTTCTGCAACGTATCTGACATGAAGGAGGAGCTGCAAGATTGAGAGGATGCTCTTCTCCCATGGATAGCGTCAGAAATGTGTTGAAAAGAAACTAATTACATCTTATGTAACCCAGTATTCAGTAGATATTTGGGCTCCTTTTGGCCAACATCTGTCTCTGTTACACGCTTTTACCAGCTAAAAGGGACCTTTTCACCTCAGTGATGCTATAATTCCTCAGTCCTACATGTTCTTGCTGTCCTTTGCAGCACAAGAGGGGTAGGGGAAGTTTCCTAACTTCCTATGAAAACTTCTGGCACCACTGTAAAATCTTCATTAAATACAATTCCAGAGCTTTAAAAATACAACTTGAGATAAAGAGTAGGGCTTCCTTGTTCATATAATTAGTGAAAAAGATAATTAATGTGCGCTGGCAGTTAAAAGCTAAAATCTCTTTTAACATAGAAACAAACCCATGGAGAGCCTGCACTTTTAAAAACAGTCAGCACTGCAGTTATGTCACGTGTAAGTTGTCTGTGCGCACTCCAAATAAAGCTTCTGTTGAGGAATTGTTTCCATTTTCAATTAAAGAGACTCTAAGGTGTTTTAAGGCTTCTGTTTTCCAAAGTGTGAAAACAGTTACACGTTGGCCACCTGAGAATTTTACAAAGGTACTCACTCACCTCTGCAAAAAAAACCCTTCTAGCTCTGAATGTTCCCATGGCCCAATCAACCCATATGTATTTTTTACAAAAGCCAATAGAACGTAGCGATGAGTTTCTCTGTGGAGAGCCAAGGTTATTTGTTTCAAAGGGATCTGGTGGTCAAAGAACTTGTTGTCTACCTGCTCGAATATTAAAAATAACTTTTTATATGCTAATTTTACTTTTTCTAACTTTAGGGTAAAAGCTTTTTGTTTCCCTCTTCTTCAAACAGTATATTTAAATGTTCTAGTGATGTGTAGTTCTCTATATATAATGGAATTATTTACTCACCATGGTTAATGCTTAGAAAACTGTATCTGAAAGGTTAAGGAATACTCGATGATGACCATTATTTTAACTGCCCTGTGTATGCACAAATACATTCTTTAATGAGGTCAGGCTGCATTCCCACTTCCAACACGCTTCAGTCTGATCTAGGCTTTCTTTCTTTCACTAGTTCTGACTCAAAATTCCCCCATCACCTTGTCTTGGGAAAAGATTTACAGCTCAGCAGCGTTTTGTGCGTTGCTAAGCTCAAAACTCATGGTTCAAAGAGACTGAATGGTCTTTTGGAGGAACTAGGTATAGAGCTACTTAGCTATTCTTTTACTCTTTTTAGAGTACCTCTTTTAGAGGTACTGTTTTTCCAGAGCTGCCTATAATTTTTAAAGATACACTGTCCCCTTGGAGATTTATTACGACTTTTCTGAGGTCATTTTCTGCTCAGTAAACTTCTTTGTTACACGGCCTATCTCTTGTCAAGTTCCCTTGTGAAAGGTTTTTCACCTAATTTGTCTACTGATCTTCTGCATTTTTTGCCTTCTCTTTCTTAAAATATCGATGAGGGACATTAAGACTTTGTGTGTATTAGCAGCAGGCATTGGCTTCTTCTGCGTTCAATCAGAAGAGTTAAGTGGGTTGTATTCTGTATGTCTTGTTAGTTAAACCTTGCATTTCAACTCCGGAGATGCTCCAGTTTGAAAGTTCACGTACATTGATTGCAGAAAAAGGGTGTATCTTTCCTCTGGTTCTGTGTGAGTTAATCCCAGACTAAGAAGCAATATAGCTCTGTCAATGTCTGGGAAGTAAAACTCTTGGCAGAACTTATTAGCTTAGATATCACACTCTGCCAACATGGTTTTGTTGTTTTTGGACTCAAGCCAGTTTTGAAGTATTGCACCACTGTACCATGAAGATATATCAGCTAAAGCTGTCCTTTGCACAGTATTCCACTGAATAGTTAGATATATCCAAAATCTAATAGGCTGACACAGATAAGAATGAGAGATTTTCATTGGCTATACGAACATGAAGTCAATATAATGAGAAGCTATTTATCAATTATTACAGATGGAAAATAAATTACAGGAAGGATTTATAAGACAGAAATTCCTATTTTATAGAGAATATTGAAGATGAGTGAAGTAATTTGGAACTCCAGGAAAAGGGTTTAAGGAATTAAATAGTTACAGGTATTTGGTGATTTATAAACCTTTTAACAGTCACGCATAAAACTAGAGTCTAGAAGTAGTCACCTAGGGACCATTACAATTATTTCTTCTCATAGTTTTGTTGTGTGGTAGAAAATAGATAGCAAGGAAATGAAATCTTCCATTATATTGCCACTGTGTATCATTGATTCAGGCATAGAAATAATATGAACAAAATGACAAGAAATGCATTAGGTGAGTAGTCTTTTTGAAAGGTATATATTAGCACTTAAAATAATCTCTTATTACAGATTCAACCAACTCTGGAGACAACATGTACACTTTAATGAACGCAGTACCACCTGGACCCAACAGACCTAATGTAAATATAAATCTAGTTATATTTTTTTGAATTACACAGCCTTGTTTTATCCAAACTAGTGCATTTCCATGACATATGATTAATACTAAGTTCTCCTTTTTAATGGGTGACACATAAGTTGCTTACCCCCATCTTGTCTGTTTTAGTGCTTTTAATGTCTTGCAAATCAGTCATACCCATACATACAAAATAAATCATTGGGGCCTCTTTTTCTACAAGGAAAATACCTTAAAAGCATGTGCATATGAATCTTGGAGATGAAGTTTATCACACTGCGGTGCACTAGACTTCTGTACCGTATGACCATCCTAGGAGCTGCCACCAAACATTAGTTTCTGCAAGATTTAAACTTGCATTATAAAAAAATCTCTACTCCTGGAGAGGGAGATGAAAACCATTGAAAGTGATTCAGTGTTACATTGCCCTACCACTCCATGAAAAGTGATAGAATCAATACCTTTAAGAAGAAATAAACTTCCCTGTTAAGAATGAAAAACAATGGTAACATTTAAGTATTTCCCTCATTAACTACTCCATTGGCGACTATTTCAGCCCAAACTTCAGCAATTCTAGAACTGACAAAAATCTGGATTCGTAGCTTGTTTCTTTTCTCATTTCTTTCTATGCCTTCAGTTTAGTTGTATTTATCTGATTACTAAGATATTTCACCTAATTACAGTCCATGTTGTGGGCCTTTTGAAAAAAGGCCAGTAGAACTTTAAGAATATGGCTATTTGGATAGTGCTAAATCAGCGAATTTAGCAAATGCACTATAATGCTAATGCCTGAAAGTTTTTGAAGAACTGGATTTAAGGTATTAACCTTAAATCTGAAATCTGACAGAAACTGTTCATAGTGCAAAGGTAATGCAGAGTACTCTGACTGTCAGTATAGTCAGGCTGGGATTTGAAAACTACTAATTAATCACCTACTCATAGAAGTGAGTGGTAAAATTCTCTTCAATTTCAGTGGGAATATAGTTAGGTCAGCACTAACATATCTGAAAATCACACACCAAGTGTTAAAGTATATCATAATTCATTCCTAAGTCATATGCCAGCCTATATAGATGAGTTTCTCCGAAAATCTTGAGGACCACATCGGAAAAAGTAAACAAAAACAATAACACTTTTTGCAGACTACACTTACACTTCACTTTCACATACAGAGATGGAACTGTGTATTTTTCCTTTGCTATTTTTTCTGAGAACTACTTTCTTTTTATTAGATTATCTACAATAAATTTGTACAGTAACACCAATTTTTAATGTCTGATCCTTTTATAGTTTCCAATGGGGCCAGGGTCAGATGGACCTATGAGTGGACTGGGTGGAATGGATTCACATCATATGAATGGATCATTAGGTAATGATAGTAAATGTTATGAACATTGTGAATTTTCAGTGACCAGTGCCATTTTCTATTACTAGTTCTCTGAATTATGTGGAAGACTGTATATAAAAATCTTTTAGAAACTAAAAAGCTGTATATCAAAAAGAAATATTAAGATACTTTTTAAGCATATGAATTGGCATATATAATGCATCTCTGGAAGAAAATGACTGAATGTTACTTATATAACAGAGTATAATTTGAAACTAGTTGACCAAAACTACTCTAAAACTATACCATAACAATAATGTAGAAGTGATGGCATAAGACCATTTTCTCCTTACCTCTCTTCCTCTTTCAAAAACTTGAGAAGGTGTCTTTGTGACATGCTGGTGCAAGTTCTTACCAAGTACACGGAAGTAAGTTATTACATATATTAATCTATGTGTTAAGCTGTTGTAATCTCAACAGTCTGATGTTGTCACTTGTTCTAACATTAGCCTTCTGTCTCTTAAGTGTTAGTTTTATTATTCCCTCCCCATAAGCGGCTTCAGACATTGTCATTTAACGCACCAAGAAAGAACATGCATTCTTGTCAGGGTATGCAGAGGCAGGAAGAAGACTATACTGTTTGACTTTTGACGCTATGATTTTTGAAGGACTCCTACCAAAGGGAGAAGCCTTTCACAGTTCTACGAAACATGCACTGCTTTAGCCTCTGACTAGTGTAGTAAACCTTTTTTCTTACTCTTTGCTGGAAGGATGATAGACACTTGAAAGGGATTTGAGCAACAGGCTGCAACTCATTAAATTGCATTTAAGCCTTCCTCTTCCTTACCAACAAGATAAATAGATACCTTATATTTGTTTGTGCTTATAGAATAACTCCAGGCCAGTAACTTTGAATACAGCTTCCATGAACCATTCTTTACTTCCACCTGCACCAAGGAGTGTGGGTCATACAGGCAGCAACAAGGGGAAGCTTAGTCTGCAAAGACTTCTCTTTCCTCTTCCATCTCCATTTCCCACCAGCAAGGTTCTCTTTTACATCTGGGAGCTGGCCTTATGCACCCACAGGGCACCAGCAACACTCTGCTGAACATCATTTTCCTTTATAGGGAAAAACCCAAGCAAGTTACCTATATGGTGGGCAAGCAGAAGCCAAGCTGTCACAGTTCCCTCTGCTTCTATCCCTAAAGAAAAGCTCTATCATCTTCCCAGCACAGACACAGACCAACTTAAATGCCATACTACAGTTAACACCATTTAATTCCGTATTGCCATGGTGGATGAAAAGTTACCACAAGTACAGCCCAGAAGTTGGAGATTATGAGACAAGATGTATAATCAGGTACGAAAAAGGGAGAAATTCAAAAATGAGAAAAAAATAAACTTTAGGGGAAACCATCAAACCTCACTTAACAGACATTTTCTGAGCCACAGGACAGTCTTCCTTCTGGGAAAGCAGGTCTCTGAAACTCCTAGATTACTTTGCATGAGGCCATCTTGTGATTTTACAGCCTTTCTTATTACATATTACAATCCTAAAACAGGTTGCTGCTTTAATTAATAATGATGCACATTATTTTGAAGCAAATGAAAAGCTTTGTAAAAGTTGAGTCTTTTTCTGTCACTTGCTATAGCCTGAGATTTCTTAGCTAAAGGAAGAATTGCGTTTGAAACAGTTACAGAAGGATTCTATGTCTGCCTAGCATTTGGTTAGTTATTTTCTGTAGTGAAAATATTTACATTTTTAGTCAAATTGACTACAACTGTTGTCTAAGGTTAATTTCATTTCTAGAATGGAAGCTGAGTTCTTTTAGGGGTATAGGACTGGAAGACATCTCCTGCATGTAATTCCATGCTGTAGTAGGCAGCTGTATCACATAATCACAGGCATAAATTGGTCAAGTTCCATCTTGAACACTTCTCTAGCTTTTTTTTGACCACAACCCTTCTACTGGATATCTGTTAACAGCTTTTATGGTTAGAACGAAATCTTTCTCTTATTTCTAGCAAAATTTATCCATTTGTCCCTGACAAAATGACTCTTCTTTTTCCTAGTGTTTATGTATCTGGAGTACTTACAGAGAGAAATCATATTCCTTCTCAGCTTTAATTTGCCTTGCTAAGTATACCAAGCTATTTCAGTCTCCTCCCACAGCTCCATTTTCTTGATTATTTTTCTCTGATACTCTTCCAGTGTGAATTTGTCTTCCCTGAAAACAGGTGACAAGAATTGTTTACTGTCTGTTACTGCTAGAAATGCTTTTCTTGATACATCCATCCTAAAATTATATTTCCTTTATTCTTGGCTTTACCCAAGTGAGAGCTACAGCATATGAGAAAAATTCTTTTTGCTAGTCTTGCACACATTATATTGAGTTTTATTTGGTTTCTGTTACTCCAGTCCTTCTTAGAATCACCTTCTTTCTTCTGAAAGAAATTATCACCATCAGTATTTGTACTGCATCCAAAGCTGACGTCATTTCAGCCAATTTCAGTAGTGGGCTTCTGCTCTGGGGGCAAAGACATTGATGAAATACCCCCGACCTGATCCTAGAGATACTCCACTAGCAGTCTTCTAGGGAGTTTTGAATAGCTGAAAATGCAGTAAAAGTGCTGGTCATTTTTCTCAGGAACATTAACTTGTATTAGTTATCCATGATTGTACTTTTTTCTCACGCTGAAGCAAAGTTTCCCTCAAGCGTGTGTACCCAAAATGAACTGCAGTACCCACACCCTACCATGGCTAAAGAGAACAGGGGGATTGGACATATCCTTTTTTGAGCTGTGCCAGGCTGTCTCATCCTAAAAGATGCCATTCAAGGAACTGATACAGATCAGAACTATGTCCTTCATTCTTTTCCCCCTTTTTGCACTAGGTGTGTACACAGAGAAAGCACTAACATTATTCAATACTGACTGTAAATTTTTCCTGAGAAAGACACTGGGATGGAAGAGAGTTCAAGCATGGTTATGTTTTAACATATTGCTGTAAACTATATTTTTAAATATGAAAAATAAGCTCATAGATTAATTTCAGCTCAAAACTAATTGAATAATTATCTATTTTAATTTAAGGCTCAGGAGACATGGACAGTATTTCCAAAGTGAGTATATAATATTAAAATATTTGGATTTTCTAGAATGATATTTCACTCTAAACACATCTTCTCATGTCTTTGTTAAACTTTTTATTACGTGTACACGTTTTATGCTTATGTAGCCTCTAGAGGCTCTGCAGACAGAATTAGCATTAATTGAAAGTTTAAAAACAATACCTATAATCAGTAGGGAGTGTAAGTAAACTTATTTCCTATTGCATAACGATGTATGTTAACGACTGTGATTAATATATATCCAGTTCACAATCTGATTGGTCATGTTATACTCTTCCATACCGGTAAGACAAATGAATAGTGGTCTAATAATTAATTCTATTTAAAGGTAAATTTGGAAAATGTCATAAGGATGTTGCTTTCATGTGCTGAATGATTGCATTTGTCACCTCTGTAAGTCAATGTTAATATCTTAATCACTAAGTCCCTAAAAACCAGATTAAAAAGTAGTTGCAGAAGAAGCACTGTTTTGATATTACAACCATTAAATAGTACAGGCAGTGTGAGTTTAACCTGCAGGGGGTTGCATCTACAAAAATCATATCATTCTTGAATGTGTCGTTTCTTCCATAAAAATAAAAGCCTACTGCGTCTGTGAGCATTATTAATTTAGGAACTTACTTAAGAAGTTAATGAGCTTATTCGGTATTGATAAAGTGGTAGAAATCTGTCCGTGTCCCTGTAAAACACTGTGTTTTGTACTCAACGTCTACAGATGTAACTTACTGAAACTAGTAAAAATAGCACTAAAACAATTTCCCTGCACTTTTGTGCGTTTGATCTATAAATACAGAAATTGATGAAGGGGTTGTTACAGTTACAGTTTTAACTCATTCGGTTGAAATTACTGTAACAAAATTCTGATCACCTTCCAAAAGACAAATATGAGATTTTTTTGAACAAATTACCTGCCTGTGTTTCTTGGGTGAGACAGGACTAAGCAGCACAGTGCTGTGGCTAAACTTCTCTCCGTACAGACTTTGCCACTTCAAATCTGCCTAAGGCCTGTCTGCTCATGCTCTGGTCACACTAAGGATGTCACTGTAGATAACTCGCACTGAGATACGGTGAGATACAAACACATATGTCAAAAGGGAACAAATACTTACCTAAAATCTGTAGATTAAAATAGAAGTTTGTAGTATGAATTTATTTAAAACACAATTTCAAATGTTCAAAAGGCAGCAATCAAACTTCAGCCAGTGATACATATTTGTATATCCAAGGTGGAGGAGGAGGAGAACCTTACGCTGTTCCCCAATTTGGTGGGGAGATGGCAGAGAGATGTAGCTTGTAAAGTGCACTTGTGTACATGTGGTGTTATGCTGTGTTGTTTGCAAGGAGTTTGCGTTCACTGCCAGTATAGAAGACGTAATCTGGCATTAGAAGAAATTCATCATAGGGCAACACAGTCCTTTTAAAATTTGATAAGTGATTTATAGCCTCAGAATAACCTTCCGTGGCTTTCCCTGGAGAGTAGGACCACAGCAGTATGCCTCCTAGGTCATTTGGGGGCTATGAGGGGGCAGGATCTATAGCAATGCTACATTTTTGTAACCTCTGAAGATCTATAACGTGTTCAGTTCCTGCAAAGAGTAAAGATGGGTTTAAAGTGTTCATGTTGCCTCAGCTGTGCTCTGCTTAGGTGTGCAGTGATTGATGCAATATAAACTTCCAATGAGATAATCAACACACAGCACATTTTTAATAATGTCCATACTTTTCCTTCAGCTATTTATTGTTTGCAAAATGCAGCATTTTTTAAGAAAAATCATTTCTGTTAGCTTGTCACTAAAATTATTTTTAAAAGCCTGTATTCAGTCCACTGTATTAAGCGTCAGCATATATGCCTGCTATGAGTATCAGGAACTCTAAAACCTGGATCCAAAAAGTTGCCTGAAAGTCTTGTAAGCTGTTAACCTTAGTAAGTATATCATGGAAATCACATTTGATGCAAGTCTTTTTCAAATAATTAAAAGAAAAGTAATGTGTACTTGGGCAGTAACAGTGTTGTATTGTTATACCGTTATATATAATAGCTTTCAAATATCTTTTCCTGAGGAGCGCTCTGCCCAATATGCAGCCTTCACTGATACTGGTAGGACTGCGTGGGCAGTGTTTTGTATATAGCATTGGCAATTCTGGGTACGTAATAGTACTTAGTGCTTTTGAAACTTGATTGGAAAAGTTCTTCATGCAAGCAATAGTAGATTTCTGGGGTTTCATGCATGCAAAATTAATATGTGGCTGCCTTCCAATTTTTTACAGTTACCAGGATTGTACCAGGATTGTACTTGCTAAAGCAACGGTCTCTCTTTATACATCACCAGCTAGTGGTGCGATTGCCTTTTTCACAACTAGATTTCCAGATTACTAATTAATGTGGCACGAATTGTTCACTGAAATTAACACAGTTTGGGTCATGTGGTGCTAGACGCTCAAGTGCAGGCACAGGATCCTGATGGAGTAAAACGCATGTTAGAGGAGCTGATTATCTATCCCCATGAGATGCAGAAAATTAATCCTGTCTTGGTAGAATCAGCTCACAGAATTCATAGCTACATTTTCCAGAGGAGATTTTAATTTAATTGGCAGAATGGCAAAACATGCAGTTTTTATGAAATAGATTGAGATGGGGGGAGTAAATGAACTGAAATTATGCGTATTAAATAAACATTAATAACCCGTGTTTCTTGCAGTGCCCATGGAATTTGTACAGCCATCAAAGAAATATTTGCTCTGAAAAACTCAGCTAGTGCTACAATGCTAGACCCCATACTGACCATAAAAGAAGCCCAGGGGAGTTGCTATAAAAGCGTTTAGGTTGGGAATTTGAACCTTTGGGGTGCCACACTGTAGCAAATGCAGAATTTCAAAGCTTAGTACTACACGGAGCAAGATAAAATAGAGGTAAATCCCCAAGGAATGAAAAGAAGTGTGGGGTCATCATATAAAATAAATATGACAAGGCCTTAGTGGTTATTAAACTATATATTCATAAATTTTAAGGCCAGAAGGGACTGATGTGACTGTCTAGAATAACCTCCTGCATAACACAGGCCACAGGACTTCCCTAGATTAATTCCTACTTCAGATACAATAGCTGTGGTTGAACTAAAGCAATAGTTGTCAACCTTTGCCAAGTTGTGGATCTCTAAATTTTTCCTATGCTAACTTCACTGTATCGCAAACTTAATTGTCTGATGTTAATTAACCAGTTAATTCTTTTAGTTGCCTTTGATGGACCCCTCAGGTGTTTTCTAGTGATTCATGGAGATCAGAGGATCACAGTTTGAAAATTAGTGAACTAGACTGTGAAGAAAACCAAAGGACTAAGGCAGGGATCTTGACCCTACTCTATAAGGTGTGTTTCAGGTGCTAATTAAAACCAGTTTTGCCTGCATGAGGTTATGTAATTAATTCTGCATTTCCTCTGTACCTGAAAATAAGTACATCCAGCTGAACCCAGAAACATATTTGCTAATGCAGGTGAAAATGGTTATCTTTCTTCAGGGGAGTATGGTTAAAACTTAACAGCAGCCTTTCAGTACCCTTGCAAAATTTTTCACTCAAAGTTTGCCCTCTTGCAGCCTTAGTTGTACTAAATGAAGACAGCATGCATTTAATTTCTAAGGGCAGTATATTTGTGTTTTTAAGAAGCTTCATAAATCTCTATGCTAACAGAAATACTATGTTAGCATTGTAATTGAGAATTAGCATAAGAAAAAGAAGACAAATTGACTTACTCTTCTTACAGCTGTTATCAGTTGATCTCTCTGATCAAAAGTACTACTTTGAGTTGTATGTTGTTAGCTTGCATATTGACTGTACTAGGTTTGTGTTAAGTTTTTTATTACATTTCAAACTTTAAGCCTGCTGCTTTTGTATACGTAAAATGTCAACAGCAATATTATGTTTAACTTTTCTGGATCAAAAAAAATCAAGGGAAGGACTGTGGTCGAGGTAGTAAATGTTTTAGATGAAGTTCATGATTTCACTCCTCCCTTTCCCTGACTGTTCCTTTTGCACCACAAAACCTGTACTAATAGGAGTCTAACAGTGATGGAAAGGTAATCATCCACATGCTCCAGGCATGGTAGGGTACCACAAATCATTTTGTAAACACACCTAACTAATTATAGTATCTACAATAAACATGTAGCTATTGACTCTGAGTATTTTCTGTGACACTTGCCTGATTTTACTCTTTCTATAACTAACTGAATCTTGAAAGTGTTTTCTGAACATTGTAGAGGTAGTGGTGCAGGAACATTTGCAGCAGAAAATAATTTATCTTCATAAGACTTACTATTGTCATTACTTATTAGCATTGTGGTTGCACCTAGACACTAAAAAAGTAGAGAAAGACCCTACCGCATTATGCTCTGTGCAAGCAAAAAGCAAAAGTACAACTCCTGCTTGAAGTATTTGCAAGCCCAATCCAGCGGCTGGCTGCTATTCAGGCATTTTTATCTAAAACTCTGTTAACTCTTTTGTCTATAAATTCTGTGTATAACTGCTCTTAGGGATTTAGCAGCTCAAAATTTGAACTAGAAACTATTTCTACAAACCAGAGACCATGAACAAAGACTCCAAATACAGGCCTTGATTTGCAAATGTCTTATGTAGCCCAGATCTGTCCACCTGCCTTCCTTTAAGTACATAATCTGAGTTCACATATGTCAAGACACATGCTCATGGTCTTCACTGAATTTGACTGTAGTGATTTAGTGTAGTTAGAGAGCTAACTCTTATTTCTACAAAGCCATTTGTAGTTTTTCCTGACTTCAGTAGGAGAGGATGCTAGCCATAACCTGAAAGCAAGAATTACTTCAAGGGAGAAAACACAGGTTCAAATTAGAAAGTGAAACATACAGAACTCTGCAGAGGCTTACATTTTATCTTCAGAAATGCCAGTGCATTGTATGGACACACTCTGATGCATTGACACACTTGATGAAGCTGGGAAAGGGACTAAAATCTTCAACACTTAATCTGTACTTTTAAATCTTGTTTAACAGAACTCTCCCAGTAATATGAGCATGAGTAATCAGCCTGGCACTCCCAGGGATGACGGTGAGATGGGTGGAAACTTCCTAAACCCTTTTCAGAGTGAGAGCGTAAGTATTCTTTAAGAAGTTTTTTACTTGGCAAACCTTTAATCTCTGGATGTTTATTTAAAAAAAGAAAAATAACAGAAAGAACAAACAGTTTGGTAGTATACCTTTAATGCAGTGCTTTGCCTTGCATGTTTTTTACTAGCTCCTGAAATTACGGTATGGATTCACTAAAAAATTATGCCAAATTCTGTTAGAAGTTGAGCTGTAATTGCAAAATGGGAGCGGTGTAGATTCCCTGCAGAAACTCCTTCTCTAGATTAAGAGTTTAGTTGTCCATAAAAGTTGTCAAGTAGTAAAGATTATGCCATACATAGTCAGTAATGCACAGTGGGCAATATCTGAGCAGCCTAGATGTGTGTAGTTGGCGGATCTTTACATTTGAATGTTTCAGCTTGTGGTTGCCCAACCTTTGATTCCTGAACAATGCATTTTGCAGGACAAGAATGTCTTTTAGAAGGGGATTCACACTGAAACATATTATGAGAGCACCAGGACATCTCATGTTGAGATGAAGCAGGCTTTTAGAACCAGAAAAGGCAAAGATGCCCTCTAGTGTTCTTTATGGGACAAATGACATTTTAAAAAATGGGAAATGTTTTGAGGCAGCAAAACATGGTATAAAATACATTACAGAACAAGACTAGTGTTTTCATACTCATGTGCCTGAAGTTGGGTTTCCAAATCCACATTTAAGTTGCTAAATAGAAGTGGCCTGATTTTTCAGAAATGCTGACTGACTTCAACACTTATATTCTTGGAATTGACTGCTCTCAGAAGTGAGCGCAACTCCATTAATTATACCAGTGGTGAATTTTAGCTCAGAAATTATGAAGAGTAAGCAGTTTCTCTTAGATCACAACACAGTCAAATTGCATGGCAAATTTCATGGAAATCAGATTTATTTTTGTCTTTGGTTTGCTTCTTAAACCAGTGAAAAGGAAGAGGGAGCATTTTTTGCATGTTAGCTTTTTGTGTCTTCATAATGTGTTCAGATTGTTTTGGAGTATTGGAGAAAATTGGTTTGTACAAAGCAAAAAGATTGATGTTTCAAAATCTGCAATAAAGCAGTAACCACAAAACCTCCATTAAATGTGATCCTTGGTCATCGTAGTCCTTGACTCTCAATTCACCATGCTTTATTTGTAGTGAAGACAGCCAGTCTGACTCTGATCGCAGGCCAGTTCACCAAACCAAACTCATTAAAAGAAGGGCATCAGCTGTACTCAAAAGACCATTAGTTTTCTCAGACACTTACTGGATTCTGGATGCTCCGAGGTGTTGTTTGCCTACCTGAATAAATCTGGGACCCAATTTTCTCAAAATTTTGCTATGCCTTCTGTGTACTTCTAGGTGTCCGTTCCTCTCCAGCACAAATCCCATTCTGGTTCTTGGGAACTATCTTGCTTTCTGATTCATGTTTTCTTACTTGGCTACTTAGAGTAGGTATTATTATGAAGTAATTTCTCAGGCAAATTTCTGTTCAGTTCACCAGGAGTTTTGCCTGGGGTGGAGGGAGGAAATAATTTAATTAATAAGAAGTTAAAAATCACAAGTAACTACTGGTCTGTCTGCACTGGGTTATCTTTACACAACGCAATATAAAAAATGGCACATATTCCTTGTCTAAAGTGATTACCTAGGAATTGATAACTTTTGCTCTGATAAGAAAATCATTTGAACATGTGCTTAATTTTAAGCATTTGAGTTGGTCTCCCACATTGGCTAAAGATAAGCACGTTCTTGCTAGCATTGCTGGCTCAGTATGAGAGGGCTCAGCACATGACGGGAGTAAGCCCTAAAGCAGAGAAACCATGAGAGACATGACATAGGGCAAAATGCTCTTTCTGAATATGCTTGGACACTGAGAAATGGGCAGCTCCAAAGTCTAGCTTTGGCAGATTTTTATTACATATCTGGTTTTTGCAAAGGCAAATAAATATCATTCCATTTCTTGTATCAGTTTTCATCACTCTTAATACTTTTTGCATTTGAACATTTTCCTCTACTTAGAAGATTTCAGGACAATTAAATATTTCTGCAGCCTGGAAGTTTCAAATAAAATAACTATTAAAATAATATAAATGTACATTGTGGTTTCCCATTGATTATTTGTAATGAAGTATTGCTAACTTGAGGGCAGCTGTAGCCTGTATAAGGGCTGCAGTTCAATTTGTGCTACAATAATAGTGTAATGTGCTAAGTGGATTTTTAGTTCACATAAAGAAGAATGACTATTGATGCCTGATTCAGCTTGCGTCTTAAAATCTGTAATACAGAATTTAAAACTAAGCCAAAAGCCTAGTTTAATTCCAGCCAGATATATCTTCATTCCCTTTTTCCCATTAAGTAATAAAAAGCCCTCCAAAATAGTTATGTGGTTCAAGTGACCATAAATGTAGCTGGTCGGCCTGAGACTAGCTATTTGCCCAACTAAATCCCCCCAGTAGTCAACAGTGACAAGTAAAAAGTGTGAGAAGCATCAGTGAAATATTGATTCATCCCAATACCCAGGTAGCAGTACCCAGCACTGAAACTGCGTTCAAATGAATTGATTTCATCACCAGTAGCTGTATTTTTACATAATGATAGAAAGTATAGCAGAAGTTATGATACCACAAATTGAACTACAGCCTAAGCACATGCTATAGTACAAATTAAGGAGAAAATTCAAATAGCATGTTGACATTTAAACTCATTGCTGTGCTCCAGAAGTGGTTTTAGTAACCTCGGAAATAACTGTTGTTAAAATGTGGATTCCTCTTTTTTCAGTATTCCCCTAGCATGACAATGAGTGTGTGATCCGTTACCAAGTCTCCTAATGAAGACCACAGTGAGTTGGCCCTCTTCAGAGAGCTACTACAGAAGAAAATTATTCGTCCCAGTGTACAGTTTAACAAAAGGATCTCAGATACAATCAGACCCACCCTTTTTTTTCTACCATCTCCCCAGTTTTGTCAAGAAAGTGGGTCCCAAACATGATTGAGACAACTGTAAAGAGTGGCGTAACAGAACTGCCCAAGATGGAACTGCAAACATTTATCTGTGTATGTACATGTATGGGTTGATGTATATGTATGTGTGTGTGTGATATAGAAATACACACATACATATATAGGCCTGCAGGACATTGTAAAATATTATCACATGGCATCTTAAGTAGAAATGAGAAGTAGGGACTTCTATTCCATCTTTTTTTTCACGTTTACATTTTAATTATTAAAATTTGCTTTCCCTCTCCCCTCCTGAACTGTTTTATGTTGCATATATCACTGCTTTATAAGTTATTTTTTAAGGTGAACTCAAATGATAAATTCTTCTGATTTTGTAAATGTCTGCCATTACGGATAGGAATAAAATTGCTTATAAGAGCTTTCATCAACTTGTGTTTGATACCAATTACCCTGTGAATCACAAACTGTACTGTCTCAAGAAATAGAAGAAAGCTCATCTTAATTTTTTGGAGAAATTTAATAATTCTCACCTCGTTTGGTGACTTTTTTTTATACTTTGCCTTTAAAAAAGAAGCACTGAAGGTTATTTTTCTTCTTTAATTGAAGCCTAATATCTGCAATATCTATTTTAAATGGAAGCCTGAATTTGATACAAGCTTCTCAGTTTATATAGAGTACTATAAGGTTACTGTAAGTGAGCTCCAATTGCTATAGAATCTAGCAATAAAGTGTCAGGGCTTCTTCTGCCCTTGGAAATGAGTTTTTATTTAGCATGATCTTCCATAGGGGTGGTAGTTAGTGGAAATACAGTAGAGTCCTTATTACTGAAACGTTTGCTAACAATTTACCATTATATTTCCCCCTTTTTAATGATTCTCAGCTGAATCATAACAATCCATAGTCCTGATTATAAACAGCGTCTCCCAAGCCCATGCAGAAAATCAGACCACCCTGGTATTTCTATATGTATTTTTACTAGGTTTACCAGAATGAACTCCCTCCACATTTTCCAGTAAGCAGTCATTTCCGTGAACCAAAATGACTGCGTGAACATTTTATGACTACTAGCCTTGTGAGAGTCCTATCTTTTGCCACAAATAGAAGAGAAACAAAGGTCTGAGCCATTTTACAAGGAGGTCAGTGTACTGGACGTGAAAGCTTGGGATAGAATGGAGAAAAGGCATACGGCCCTGAGAAAAGGCATACGGCCCTAAGAAAAGGCTTCTGGAAGCAGTCCCCGGTCTCCTCAAGCAAAGCTCTAAAACCCGTATTACAGTAAATTTAGTTTTTAATGACTTGCAGCTCCCCCAAGAAAATGAAAGTTTGCAATTGTGTAGTGGTCAAAAGGTTGATGGTCAGCACTGTGGGCACAAAGTGACTGAACTAAAATTCATGCCACAGACAAAGAGTAAACTTCTTACCTTGGACTTTGCATACAGAAGAGCCACCTACATAGGGAAAACAGTTGTGAGATATGGTATGTCCATGCGGTCTAAGGAGATTTTTGTCATGAAATTGTGATGAAGAAGTGTATGTAATGGGCTAGCTGTGAAGGTAGATGCATGGAACTGGATGTGTAAGGAGCTCTACAACGTCCTCACTCATTTTTATTTTTATATATAATATATATATATATATGAAAATAAAAAGATATAATACTTTTTACTCTCTTGTTAGGACTGTTCAAAGATGAAACTCTTGGAGACAGACACTTACTTAAAATTATGTTAGAATGTCAAAGATTCTGGTAACATTACTTTTTATTAATTATCACTACTTTTATCGGTTGTAATCATAAACTAAATAGTCATTATATGGTTTTTTTGACTTTGTTCCCAGTGATTATGAAGGTTGAATTCATTTGCGTATCTTTAGAAATCAGTTGGTTGCTGTCTCAAGACATGACAGCAGCCCCTACTATTGATTTGATTTGTAAAAAGACAAAAGCAGATCTCATTTTCTGAGATCCTGGGCTTGACTGTTGTCACTAATACCATTGGTTTCAGTGGCTATGTCTCCAGTGCACTCCAGCATCTTTCATGAATAGTGCAAAGTTCAGGTGTCCTTGCAGCCTACATTTGGCATCTATATTATCCTTGTTCATAGCCTTCTAAGAAGGACCTCAGGACTCTTTTCTGCCCAGTTTCAGTCCTATGATGTCACTGCAACTGGACTAAGATAGATGAATATATCTGGACTATGCATCAGGTGCCAAAGCCCGTTCACACACCAGGTAAGTGTGCCCTCGAGTGAGCTCTTAAACTGTGTGTCTTGGGTCTGTTGTGTCCCTAGGGGAACTCTCTGCACTGTCCCAAGCCAAGCTGGGCACTCCTGCAGACACGTAGCGTGGCCAGGGACCCCATGGCAACTGGCCTTGATGGCATCACTGAGGGCCCTCTTACATGACAGCGTGCAGGCAGTCTCTGGAGCATCTCACTCTGGCAAATTTAAGCAGAAGCAGGGTTTAGTATCAATTAGAAACTGAAATTTTTTTCAATTTGAATTTCACATCTGCAATAGTTTAGCTTATAGGCACCTGTTAAGGAAAAAGTGTGACCATTAAATTAAAAACTGTGCAAATAAGAGTGCAGAAATAAGAGTCCCTTTAAATGGAACTGCTAACACATATTGAATAATATTATCAAAATATGTTATCCTAATTTAAGTACAAGAGCATAACATCCATTCAGGTGCCTAATTTTTCTTCTGTGATTCTTCTGATCTACCCTCTATGTCATTTTCCTTACTGCCAGCATATGTTTGTTTCCCTTTTCCATTTCCTTTTCAAAACATTTACATTAAATTAAACATGGTTGCATTGATCTTGCAGCGTTAATCTCAGTAAAAATGTTGCTGGCTTTAAAAGGAATGGTCTTCTAGGCTATCATTCTATGCCCTGATGTTACAAGTTACTACCAACGTCCAGCACTTTCAATACCTAGGTAGCTGCACAGACTAGTGGGATAAATATGTGCAAGTCTGCAAAATCTTAGATTTGAGAAATCTGCTTGAATACTCAGTGCATATCTTATTATTAGAAATGTTATCAGATATAGGTAAACCTAATCACCTTGCTTTTTGTAGGGAATGAACCTGTGTTTTACATGCGTGTTGGCAAGATCAAGTGGCTATAACCATACATAGGTTCTGCAGCTGAACCATAGAAAACAATCTTACATGCTAAATTTTGAACTTACTATGAGTATTCTTCTAGTTTTTAAATTTGCATAAAGCCTTTTGTTTGTTTGTTTGTTTGTTTTCTTTCTTTTACCCATAAATCCTTACAGGATTTGTATCATATATAGGAGTATTGGTATGGAAAGAAAGATTATTTGTACGCACTGACTTTTTACTCCCAGTTAAGTTTGTATTGCACTAGGTATCAATGTGTAACGTAACTGCTATTGACCTCCGTGCTTATGCAACAGCATTCTTGATAATATCAGAACTCGTCCAGCTCTGGGAGAAATGTTAACGCAAGTGGTGCAGGATAGTTTTTCCACAGTGGGTTTTTAGATTTCTCTCTTTAGTATGAGCCTCTAAAAGGGTGTTTCAAGCAAATTTAAAGTAAGGCTTTTTAAAACAGAAGTGAAAAAGTCTTAGATTAGCAGAATAGCAGAATAATGGATCTCTCTTACTGTAAGAACTCTGGCAAAAATTCTGGCTTTGTAGAAATCAGCTGAAGTTCTGATGCACTTCAATGAAACAGGTATTTTACTTGCTGCGTAAAACCATGAAAAGGAGTATTCATACTCGGATTTGATTTCCATATGTAAGTCTTGTAGAGATAAGAACAGGGGATGGGGCAAGCAAAAAGCTGTATGAATCACAAATAAAACTTGTGGCCTGACATGTGCATTAAAAAAATACCTTGATATTTGTATGTATAGGTTGCATTATTTTATTAATTGCTTGGGCATGAGGAAGAACTGCAGTTGAACTCAGTGTTCTCCCCCCTTCAGTGCAAAGTGAATTTGGTGCATGTGAAAAACATTGCAATAACCTTGAGTCTAGTCTTTGACAAACCTTTCACTGTCCAGTGGACTGTGCCTCAAGCTTGACTAGGAGTGACCGGCTTTTCAAAGTGACAGAACAGGTCAGCATCCAGATCAGTAAGTCATCATTCTGTCAGCGGAGTGCCACTATTGCCAATTTTTATTTAGAAGCTTTCTGATTAGAGCCTAGACCACCAAGGTATTATGTATTCAGGTACACTAACAACTTTCAGAGTTACCAGCCTGCTCCCATTTTAATTTACAAAATATAAGGTTGAAAGCACCATATCCCGTGACTAGTCACGTGAAGATATCCAGCCATCACTCTCCCTTTAAAACACAATGGGAATTATGTAGACTGATTACTTATTTTAAATAATTCAAATTAGGGAGTGAATGGAAGCTTGCTTCTTTATGGATAGCAATTTAGAATCTCTGCATGAGAAGAATAGCTTCTTGAACTGGCTAAAAATCATTTGAATTTTCCCCTGCTCTGTGGTTAGCAAATGAAATACTGCATGTAAAGAGGATTTGGAATTAGATGGGTAATTTAATGAGGGACCAGCTGTTACAATATTCAGTGTTGCACATTTTATTCTTTTTTACTAGTTAAAATGAATTTTCAGCTGATAAATGTTGCATTGATTTCTATTTCTCAGATCAGTTAATTATTTTTCAGTATTATCTCCTGCTCCTAGGCATCTCTGATTCTTTCTTGTTGTTTTTGCTAAATATGGGCTGAATTCTTCAAGATTTGACCCTACACATTTGCATTTGGAGAATATCATGAGATAGAGTTTAATGATTAAAAAAAGATCAGTATAGGTAAAATTATTTTTCTTTAATTCACTGTAAGCAATGGTACATGGCTCCTGTTCCAAACAGGCTTGGGTTTGGGTGGGCCCTAAGGATGGGAATTTTGATGAAGCACGTCTTTCAAATAAAAAACAAAAAACTCTTACTACAGTGACAGTTCATTTCTCTTCAAACAAACTGATCACACTACGGATCTAATTCAGGATTTAATGGTATGAAACAACTATAAAAATTCAGTGCACTCAAATATAAATGAGATGATAGATTTAAATTTTTAGTGTGCAGCTTCCTCTGCTTTCCAGACATTATTGGCTCAGTCCTATAAGCTGCTGCTCATACCAGTTGTCCTACTGGAACCACTGGTATAAGGTCATTGTTTGCAGGATTTCACCCGGAACTGGACAAAATAGTGTATTTAAAGTGTGGCTTTATCGGCAGATGTAGACTATAGACTGTGTTGAAATTTTAAAAATGATGTTTCAACCTGAAAAACGGAGGGAGAAAGTCCTAACTGATCTAAACTATGGCTTTGCATGCATGCATGCAAATTATCTGCCAGTGCTGTCATCTTGGAAACAAATTATGGCAACAAATTTAGAGTGCATA